GTTTATATAGCTCTAACAATATTTCATAACTCATTTCAAATTGTATTCAGTCTTTATATACATAAATTGAGAAAGAACTTTTTTTTTTAATTCTCCCAACATGCGGAAAATCCATCTTGCATCACACTATTCGGGTTTTGATTTAACATGTAGGTTAGAGAGGATAGTTCACGTATTATTATGCCAACATAATATCCAAAAATAGATTAACACGGTGAATTCATCAGTAACTTTGATTGACACGCAAAGTTATAAATATTCATAACAACATCAGGTATTTTAACTATGATGTATATTTCTATTTTTACTGTTGATCGGGTATCTGTATTATACCCCTCGCAAACAAAGTTTTTTTATTTTTTTTGGGGGGGGGGGGGGGGCATTGGATAACCATGTCCGTCTGTCTGTTTGTCCGCCCGTCCTGCTTCGTGTCTGGCGTTGTTTACTATTGAACTTTATATGTTGATAAACTTGTTATGCAGATGCATCATGGGCTACGGGTGTGGCATATACCAAAGCCAGGTCACTATGATCTTGATCTTTGACCAAATGATAATTAAACCTTGTCTGATTTGTGTCCTGTGTATAGCTATTGTACCGTAGAACTTATGTTGACCAAACTTGGTTAGCTGATGCTTCATGGGATGGGGTTATGTCATATATCAAAATCAGGTCACTCTGATCTTGACTTTGACCTTTGATCCCGTCGATAATAAAACAGTGACGGTGCTTAACTTTTGTACCTTAGATAAATAAAATTTTTTATGCAGAGGAATCATGGGATCGGACGTGTCAAATTCCAAAATCAGGTCACTCTGACCTAGACCCTTGAATTATATATGCTGAAAGCCGAAATTCTCAAAATGTCTTTGTCAAAATACTGAATTTGACAGCAGTAAATGCATGTATGGGGTATAAGTCTCGCTAGTGGGGACAGCTCTAATTTAACTCACTATAGTTGAAGCTTGACGGGTTTTCATGAGTTTTCAATGTAGAATACATAGCGCGTAAAGAGGATAGATTGAATCTGAATGGATGCATAGAAAACTGTATTCCAAAGATAAATTTGAAAATAACCATGCATAAATGAAAGGAACAGTTACTTAAACTTTACAATTACAAAATCAAAATGATCCATAAAATTGAATCAAATACTCGATTCGAGCATTATATATCCTTTGCCGCATTCTGCTGAAGAGTTTGCGGGACTGGTTGACGCTGGTATACGTTTGGATCCAACTCACCTCTTAATGGGTGTTAGATATGATTTAAATTAGTTTTTTATAAAATGCAAGGGTAACTAGGCGATATTTCAATTTGCAAGAATTTCCATGTGCAAAATTAGGGTGCAGTATGCAGTCATGCGTTGTCATGCTGAAAAAAATCCTGTCATCGTATAGATAGCTGGCAGTAGTTGAGGTTCGAGAATTTCTATTTTAATACCGCAAAACAGTTACGTTATACCCGCGAAGTGAACAAACAGTGTTCTTTGATTTTAAGATATGCCTCCCCACATTATAACACCGTATCCTCCGAATCTGCTAACTCTACTTCACAATTTGTATGATCCCATATGGGTTCTGCATCATCTCACCCTTGCGTTTTCGGAGTACTTGTGTAAAAAGACACAGTTTTAACTAAGGTTCCTACTCCCTTAGGCAAAGTTGACCGCAAATGGATTTGGCTATAATGAATGTCCCTTTTGGTCATGCAGCTCTTCATTTCTTTTTGTAGACATGCATCCTTGACTTTCATTTTTGAGCTTTGAGCGTTCCAGATGGAAGGTAAATCCAGTAAAGCGCTTCGGATGTATGACATTTGTAAATTGTTATTTTCATCATCATCACCATTTAAGAGGTTTCGGAATTGAATTTGAAACTCCATGCAGACCGTAGTATACATGAAGTAACCACAATTTTGTTAAGAATTGACGATTGAATTTGTTGATAGGGTATTTAGTTGAGCTGAAAATCATAAAAGCTTACACAATTGTCCTATATAATCATATTTATATGTGCAGCAATGAAATATTTGCTGTTATATAGGTATTTAAGGATACAGGATAAAATCGTTGAAAGTACGCTTTATAGTGAGTATAAGTGATACCACAGAAGCCATATGTGTTTGTCATATTTATCACTTATAGTGAGTATAAGTGATAAATATGACAAACACATATGGCTTCTGTGGTATGATATACGATTGATTGTTTTCTTTTTGGTTACCATCCAGTTGTAAATATTTCATATATATAAAAAAAAATGTGCTTTTCCAAAGTTGATGAGCTGTGCTGAATAAATAGCCAATGTATAAAGGAAGTACTTTGGATTGGGCAAACAATTAGACTTGAAACGGTCCAACTATATGGACACCTGGAAAGGGTGTTGCAAGTTTTCTTAAACGTCATCATGCAGAGAGCTTTACACTCCCTTAAATATCCAAATGGACGTGACTTTGTAATGAAACATCCATCAGAGCTAAACGGGCGACCCCTCTGGCTCAGCACGGATATATAGCTGGGTGGTGACAATATTTCTAGAACCTAGTTAACTCTTTTAGTTTAAAATATGTACGAAACTACTTAATTGGTAATCAAACCATCTCTTTATTTTAATATATTAAATTACACTGTGTGACGAGTTCAGTAAATTGTCCTTGTATAACTGATTTTTATATTCTTATTTTCTTTTAATCATATGAGCCCGAGAAGGTGACGTTTGGGTGGTTGGTATCATTTGACCCCCAATGAAATTTCTCCGAAATTAATTATCCCCCTTTACCTTGAACAAAGAAATCACGAGTCTCTTTTCTTCATGGCTATAGTGAATGTCAACATGCAAACCATACCTTGACAAATTATATGGGTGATCACTATTTTCTTGAGCAAATCAAATACTTTATGTTTAGATTGTTTAAAATTCAAACAAAATGCATTGTGTACTATAAAATATTTTATAAAAGCCACCAGGAAATGCATTTCGTTCAATAATTCAGAATGATTTGAATGATTCACTTATGAAAATATCTTAAAAAAAATATATCGCAATATTTTACTAAAAGATTGTTGGAGACGTTATATACGTTTACTGTATGCTGTATTAACCATACTGCATTACTGCGTTCCCGTCTAATAGATAAATGAATGTGGTAACAGTTCATACATTGCGGAGATGGTACATACAACAAATTAAATATTTGAACTGAATTTTCCAACTTTAAATTTGTCAAACAATTTTCTATCTATTTTGTTAGAATTAACCAAAATTTACCGAAAAAAGTTTATCCCCTATTTGAATTTTGTAAAAGATAAATATCCTTCCTTTCTATGAATGTAATAGAAACAAAATATACCCTCTACATTCTGACCAGCACACCCCATTCCCAGATAAATGCCAATTCATTAAAAAAGTATCAATGCCTGTGTATATTGAAGATGAACAATCATATTCATTCTTATCAATTCAAATCCTAATGCCAATATCTGCTGGTAATGCGTTCATTATATACATACGATCAGATCTTAAACGGATTTTTTTAATGCTTGAAACACGACTTGATAAATTTAGTTGTGACTAATTCATATTAAAAAGTATTAAGTCAATCACTACAATGTCTTTTATTACTTAATAGTTGAGTGGAATGCATTTTATTGATATTTAAAAGACATGGATCAATGACTGAATGGTTTTCATCTCCACTGAACAACAGTGACAACTCCCTTAGCATCCCGATTATATTTTCCTTTTATTATGTAAATAAACACTTTTATATTGGCTTGAACATAGTGCGGAAAAATTGACAATCAAATTCAATTAAAAGAATTATTTTTAATTCATCGAAGCAATTGTTTATCTCGTATCCAACCCTGTGTATCAACAACTTTCTCTGGAATGCGTACAAGTATATATAATGCATACCTTAACGACGGACGATAAAAGAGACCTGCATCCTACCTTGTTTACTTCAGACAAAAAAGAATTCGTCAAATTTCTATAACCTCGGATAGAATGACCTCTGATTTTATTCACCAATTATCTCGGTGTCCCTTGACAGATTGCTAGAAATTGATGATCCTGATGAAGCGCTACTGAGTTTTATAAATATTTTTACTGAAGTGTTGAATCATCATGCTCCACTCATTAAAAAGCGAGTTAAACATGTTTATCAGAATGAGTGGATAAATGATGAAATTAAGGAGGGTGTGAAACAACGTGATTATTATCACAAGAAAAAAGATACGTATAGTTATAAATTCTGGAGAACAAGGTTAAATACCTCATAGAAAACTCAAAGCAAAAATTCTAATGATAGTTATGTAACACATCAACTTAAAATCACAAAACAGTCATTGGAACTGAGGTCGGAAGACTATTTCTTTTTATGCCCCCGCCATAGCGAGGTTTACAAAATTTGTTTCCGTTCTCTAATTTTAGTTTGCCTCAACCACACTGTAAATATACCTGACGCCTGACGCGTCCGGACGCGTTCAAAATTTGTACACCGAATGTTCAATATTTTAACGTCATATGTTCATGCTTAGAGACCTGTTCAAAGTTTTAACGTTTGTGTTAAAAATATTAACATGTGTGTTCAGACGCAGTGAACACCGGTGTTCAAATTCTGATCTAAAAAAGAAGATAGTCGTTTGTCCGATTTTCTATCCTTCCAATTGGCAAATTCAAAAAGAAATTCTTTAAAAAATATGAATGTATACGCAGGATGATAATTTTGTGAATTTTTTGCTAATATTTTAGTAATTGTGAAATATTAAACTCCCAAGCTGGCATATATGTATAGTTTATGAATTTATTTTATTATTTATTTATATATACTAGTTTTACTTATAAGTGACATAATTATGCATATCAATGTGGCCTGTTATGATAATATCGTAATAAAAATATGTCGATGTTTATCTTATTTCATGATCCGTTCATTTTATTAACATTACATGTTCAATTAGTGTTCAAATCGCTCCAAATTTTGAACACCTCGTGTTAAAATAATATACCAGGATACCAAATACCGGAAACAGATATCGGCTGGCGATATATGGGCGGTTAAACGAAGAATGGATACACATAAGAAAGAGAACTGGAGAAGGGACTTCTATCCCATATGAACACGAAAGAAGTAAGTAACAAGTTAGAATAATCTCCATAGGTAGTTCGATGGCTTCCTTGTTATTTTCTCATGCCAGATATATATTTGTCAAATATTCGTAACTGTTATATCCAAATTTTCAATATTCAACATAAAAGACGAATTAAAAAACGGGATTTAGATATAAACGTAAATAACTGTCAGCTTTGTTCTGATGATTTCCTAAACTGATGAATAAACAGTCTGTCTGTTATACAGAATAAATGATGATTTTCGACATCCACATACATTAGCTGAACACTAAGTGTTAAGAACTCTAACATCAAGTGTTAAAAAATGAAACACAAAGGCATTAAAAACTGAACACCACACATTCAATTGATGAACACTAAGTGTTAAGAACTCTAACATCAAGTGTTCAAAAATGAAACACAAAGGCATTAAAAACTGAACACCACACATTCAATTGATGAACACTTAGTGTTAAGAACTCTAACATCAAGTGTTCAAAAATGAAACACAAAGGCATTAAAAACTGAACACCACACATTCAATTGATGAACACTAGTGCAAACATTTGGAACACCATTTTTGACTTAGAAAATGCATTTGTTTTTTTATTTGCAGGAATCGTTAGATTAAAATGTTTGAATTAGGAACCGGTAGCCAATAATCCCAAAAAGGTCATTTCTGCATGCTATAAAGTGGTGGAAAAAAGAAAGATGTCGAAAAAAGGTATGACAATATATGTATATTAGTAGCTTATGTGAGTGTATCATTTCTATCTGTTCACCTTAGGTCAAGAAATCGACTTTTGTAATTTATAATGTCAAAACTTGCATTTCATTGCTAGAGAATATCAATTTGTACACTAGTATATATCGACATTAAAGCATAACAAACATTGCATAATTTAATGCTTTATGAAAAACTCTCTTCTATTAATTTTTAATTTTATCTTGCAGGATATATAGGCTCATAGACATTCCTTGTTGTGGAGGATTTTGACATTGGAAGTTGATAACAACACATAAAATGCCACCCAGTTAATAGCTTTAAGTGAAGATGCACTGAAAAGTGGAGCGGACATTGTATGTGATCGTACAAGAACTGTTGGAATTTGCAAACTTTTAAAATTTCATTGTGACAAATACCTATATCATAAACTATCTAATTATCACATTGACATGCTTTTTTGGTTAGGATACAAATGATGTTGCAACTATCTAGTCATGTAGGGGAAAATCATTATTTGTGATATATATTTTAAGTCAGTTTAAAAACATTATGTATGTGATTTCACTGACTGTTACTTGTGATATCATAAGGTATCTGGTGTACTTTTCTTACATATAATATGCTCATTTGATTACATAAAGAATTACTTGTTAAAATATGTTTTATTTTTATATTTTGCCTGATTGAATATAGTTTTTATAACAGTTTATTTAAGTTGAGTACTTATGGAAAATTATGTACGCTTGAAAATAGAACATGTTCCACATTTGAACACCATCACTTTGAACACTTATGTCAACTGTTCTGAAAGTTAACGTCTGGTGTTCTGAATCTTAACACTTTTGCTTTAAACATGTTCTATGTGTTCAAAAAGTGTTACATGGCTGTTGAACGCGTCGACCTATTAAGATTTTGAACATTCGGACACGTTAAATCGTTGAACACTAAGTGTTCAAAAATGAAACACAAAGGCATTAAAAACTGAACACCACACATTCAATTGATGAACACTAGTGTAAACATTTGGAACACCATTACACGTTCAAAAGGTGTTACAAAAAAGCGTTCAAGCAGTGTTCTATTTATTAACACTTAGATTTACAGTGCATATGTTATAAAACTTATGCACAATGCTTATTACCACAAAACTCAGATCAAGTTCGAATTTAGGTGGCGTCACTTTTACCGTTCTGGAGTTATGCCCCTTTATAGCGTTATATGCAAGCTGATGCATCATCTGTGTTCCATGGACACATTCTCCATTTATTTAATGTTGACTTAATATATAGTTATATGTTAAAATAGTTGCATACTTGTTAATGTTATTATATATAAATGGGTTTTTTTTTTATCTTAGTTTAAATTTTGTGAGAACCTTATTTTAGTGTTTGACTGCAATTCACATTTTAATTGTATTGAATATATTTTACTGCACTGTATAAGTGCTCACACAAAATTTTTACGTTATTGGAAATATATTTTAAGTCATAACGATCACTTTATGTATCAGTCAGTTTTGTATTCAAACGGTGCAAAACACTTCCATATACTTCAGTACAGTGGCTCTATCCTGGATCCTTTTTCAGAGTTGTTTTAAACGTTCTGTCTATGACGTCATAGTACAGTATACACAATTATCGACCAGATGACCAGGTCCAGATATAAACTGTAAATTAAAGAAATAAAGTGTTTGCACTTTTCAATTTAACCACTGAGACTTGTTTTAAGATTTTCCAATCAAATGACGACGAACAAAGCCTTTCGTTTACAATTAGTTACATTAAGTAATCATATTCAGTTACATAACATAGGGGGTCTTGTTTGTTGGACTTTTAAAATACCACATACAATGACAGTGTGAAGTACATCACGACATTTGACATCGCTTAAATTAAAATCTATTTCTGCTATTTCAATAATACACAAAATATCTAATTACAAGTTAGATACCAGTTTTAAATAGTATCGATACTTATTGACTGTCTGTTCCTATAGCTTTGTCTTTATTTTGACGTTTAATTGGATCACATGTATATAGGACTGATATGCCTATGGGATTGATATCTTCTTCGTCAAAATTATCTCCTCATTACGCCGCCTATTTTTTTCAGTCGTAAAAATGGAAGAATGAATCCATTGTAGGGATGACGCGTTGTCAATTTAGCTCTTGAAAACCGCTTTCTTTTCGGTAAAATGGAAGAACAGGCGCCACAACCCTCGCATTCATAAAACGAATTGATGCCCGCCAGATTTACATTTGATGAAAATCTTAAATGTTACATTAAACTTGATCACTGCATTTATTTTCTTCATACTTTAATAGTTCTTTCCTTATCTAAAGAATTTTAACAGATTAGATGCATTTATTTGAAGATATCAGGGTCCAACTTTATTATCCCATCCTTAATTTATACAAATCTCATTATTTAAGCCCGTATTAAATTACGGTGTGTGTTCAACATATTAAAGTATGAAGCCCAATAACGTGCCCATTAATTCCAGTGGCGTAGCACCAGTGTAGCATTGTAAGCATGTGCTTACAAATAATTTTATAAAACCATTTTTTTCCAATAAGAATTTTACTATAATCGTTCAGCATATAGGGGGGCTGCCGCGCTTACAATTTATTTTTCAGTGGCCACGCCTTGAATACAATACCTTTTCAGTCATGTGTATCTTTATCGTTTGTCTCGGTTATCTAAGAATTGAATTAAAAACATAAACCATAATTAAATGCTACAGGCTAAACATTTTTGAACAGCATCATATATTAGAAAAAAAGTCTATAATAAACATTTGTTACGTGCTCCAACCGCTTAACCTCCTGACTAAATAAACTGATCGCCCATTTATCACTTGAACAACGTGTTTTAAAGCATAATCGATTCATTGGTGTATCCCTCCTAAAATCCCTTAACCAACCAATGGGATGGAATAAATCAGGAATAACGTATCGGAATAAAATAGAATTGGAACACCGTATTACTGTATGTAAATGTTTAATAAGGAATTTAAGAATTTGTCAGAAAAATTAATGTTCAGAGCCTTGTTTAGTTTCAACGTTCTCGAGATTTCTCATGTACCGCATGACATTTGTATGTCAAATACTACATGACTACACTGTTATGCAACCTTGACAATGTATTTGGCCTATTTAACGGACCCCTATATAGATAAGATATTACCTTTTCCGCTGACATCGCGACTATGAATTCACCACTGGAGAGGATTAGTTTACAAAACAACTCTCTGTGGGTACCCTCTGAGTTCAATGCATGGGGTTCTTTGGTTGAATCTCTGTTGGTCGCCGACATTTTGCCGACAAATCGTTCAGGTTACTATTTTGAATTTCCACTAGCATTCCTGTAATGCATACAGATAATTTTGAATAGCAAAAGTGTGAAACTTGAAAGGTATTTTAGTTAGCCTTTATTTGTGTCTAACAGCCCGAAGTGATCCATAGCAAATTTGTCTTTTATGAAAATTTAATTTACCAGCAACGTGTGAAACGGTTTTCAATCAGAGAGTTCCTATTTGGTTCATTATTATACCATGTCAATCACAATTAATTACTCGATATTAAAACCGATATACCAGAATATGATTTATTACATTACCATAAACCCTTTTGAGATATCTAGAAGGCGATTGTGCTTGGTCCACTGTGAAAACCGGATTCGTGGGCTCGTAGCTATTTAAGTGGTGTCAAGTATTGAACAAGATCTCGTACAATGCCGCAGACATCCATTTTACGTTTTAACTTTTGATATCACAAAAGTTAAAACATGGAATGGTTTTCGTACCGCATTTTCGCCTTTCCGCTTTGTTGTTAAAACAAATAAATATCCAAAAGTCTAATGCTAGAAAACATCAATTTTGGAGAATATATTAATCATGCATTAATTATGCATGTATATATATATATATATTATGACACGTCCTTTTCCATATCAACCCTGGTATAATCCTAGCTGAGACTCTCATATCAGCGGATATGATTTGCATATCTACAAATACTTGAATGTGATTGGTTTGTTAGAATTTGTTTAACTTGGTTTACAATTCGATAGACCATGTTGACTAAACTACTTACGTAACTCATGTAAATTCGACATAGACTTCACTGTGAATATGCATGCGCGATACGCATGGAATCCTTGGTTTCCAAGAAAGTTGAAATTGAAAAAAAAATATTTGGGGTGAATATTTAAAGGATTAAACATAATTTTATATAGGTTATTGAAGTGTAAAGGACTGAACAGATTGACTCACAAACTGGGACAACAGGAGTAAAACCATGACCGACAACATCAATTGAAACACGAATAAGACCCGAGAGTAACGAGCATAAAATGGCTATGGTACTCAGTACTGCCGGTTTAAAAAGTTGTCAAATGAAATTAACTGCAAAATTGTTTACCCAAAAGGAAGGAATATACAGATGTATTTGTACCTAATAGTTAAAACCAGAAAACTACTCTACTACATTCTCAACCAATAAGAACAATTTAACCGGGAAGATAGATCAATAACTGTTGAAGGAGATGTGAGCCATGTAGTCAATATCAAAATACGATAAAATAATAAAATAAATCAATATTTACATATTTGAATTTTCAAAATGGCAAATTTTAAAGTCAATATATCAACAGAAATTTAATTAGATGTAACAAAAATTATCAGGTTGCTAACAATGCAAGGTCAAGTTACTTTTAAATAACTCCTTCATTAGATGTTGTGCTTGTTTACTTTCTAAGAACGATTTTGCGAAAGCTGACTTCGGAAAACAAGTTCGTCGTACTGCTGCTTCTAATCCTGATTTATGGCTTTATTTTACATAGGGTTTCCGTCACGAGGAGGTAATGTATCAACAGAGGGCTGTTCTCGTCGTTGTGCTTCTTGATTTTGTGCACCTGCTTCAGATGATTGTGACGCTTATTTCTAGTCGGAAACAATCGCCTACATCGCTAACATTTGATAAAATTGAGAATGGAAATGGGGATTATGTCAAAGAGACAACAACCCGACCAAAGAGCAGAAAACAGCCCAAGGCCACCAATAGGGTTTCAACACAGCGAGAAAATCCCGCACCCGGAGGCGGGCTTCAGCTGGCCCCTAAATAAAATGTGTACCAGTTCAGTGAAAATACTAAACTCCAAAACATATAAATGAACTAAAATTAAAAAAACGTACAAGACTAACAAAGGCCAGAGGCTCCTGACTTGGGACAGGCGCAAAAATGCGGCGGGGTTAAACATGTTTTGTGAGATCTCAACCCTCCCCCTATACCTTTAGCCAATGTAGAATAAACAAACACACAGCAATACGCACAGTAAAACTCAGTTTAAAAGAAGTCCGAGTCCGATGTCAGCATAGGTAACAACAGAAACTAAGCAAAATAACAATGATACATAAATCAACAAAGGACTACTAGCAGTTACTGACATGCCAGCTCCTGACTTCAATTAAACTGATTGAAAGATTATGTCTTCATCATATGAAAATCAAGCACAATCCCTCCCGTTATGGGTTTAGTAGCATACCATCATAAAATATATAAGAAAAACATAACTCGTATCATGCCAACAACTGGTTTTAGAACAAATGTGTTCATTTCCGATGCAAAGACCCTATGAGTGAATCAATATTAATACCAAAATATGCCATCTTCAATGACCTGACAACAGTATCGTAACTATATCCCTTCTGAATAAGTCTGTTTAAAGTTTTGGTTAGCTTTTGAGGTGAATGTCGACATTATTCGTGCTTTGTAAAGAATAGTACCATAAAATATTGGATGTGAAATACCTGAACTTATAAGATGTCTGCATGTTGATTTATGTTTACAAATAATGTCATTGTACCGATGATAAAAATTAGTAAATGTTTTGAATAGTTTGTGATATCGAAAACCCTGGTGTAATAATTTTTCAGTAATACAGAGATTTCTTTCGTTAACATCAAATACGTTGTTACATACACGAGCAAATCGAACAAGTTGAGATATATAAACACCATAAGATGGTGACAAGGGAACGTCACCATCTAAAAATGGATAATTAACAATAGGAAATGAAAAATCATCTCTTTTATCATAAATTTTTGTATTAAGCTTCCCGTTAAAGATATAGATATCAAGATCCAGGAAAGGGCAGTGTTCATTGATTGTGTTAGCTTTATTTTAAGTCAGTTCAGCAGGATAGGTCTCTTTAGTGTACATACTGAAGTCGTCATTATTGAGAGCCAATATATCATCCAAATATCTAAAAGTGTAATTAAATTTTTGTATCAGATGTTTTTTCGATGGGTCTTTGCTGATTTTAGTCATAAATTGTAATTCATAACAATACAGAAACAGGTCCGCAATAAGTGGTGCACAGTTAGTCCCCATTGGAATTCCGATAACTTGACGATATACGGAATCTCCATAGCGAACAAAGATGTTATCTAGTAAAAATTCAAGGGCAGTTATAGTATCAAAGCAGGTCCAATTGACATAGATCTTTTGTTTGTTGTTACTAAAAAAATGACCTAAAAGAGTTTGAACATTTATATTCGCATTTTGACTTTTTAAATGATTAGGTGTGTGAATTTTTTCTTAATAAGATTATGAGGCAAAGTGGTATATAGGGTAGAAAAATCTAAACTTTGAACAGATTCGAAATCACCAATATTAGAATGCAATTTATCAAGTACTTCCAAAGAATTTTTGACACTCCAAAAGTAATTTATGCCACTATTTTCAAAGGCCTTATTTGAACAATTTATTACCAGGTTTTTTATTGTACTAAGTGTACTTGTAAGTAAAATAGACAGTTTAGTTGTGGAACAATGGCTTGAAGACGAAATAAATCTGTATTTGTGAGGTGTTTTGTGCAGCTCCGGAAGCCATTACATAGTTGGAACTTTCATTGTATTTGGTACTGCTCGTAAAGAGGTAGCTAAAAGTTTATGTTTGTTACAGATGTCATTTTCCGGATATGGAGTCAGTTGGAATGTTGGTGAATTCGTGATTTCCTTTTGCAGAACCTCAATGTAAAATTTACGTCAAACAATAAATTAATTTTATTGTAAGTAAAAGGATTTTTGCCAGTAAATTTCAGTTCTCTTGTTTATCTGATCATCACAGTGGGTAACCCCTTATCAATATCGTAATATGAAACTGGGAAATTTCCACTGTCTAGGTATTATGCAATTCTTAATCAAATGCAGTCAAGGTCAACATGGTCATCTCATGATCATGGTATATATTAGTTGCAGTTGGCGATTGATAATTAGAGTGACCAATCAGGAAACCGCGCATGATAGCATCATTGCATGTGAGGGACGCTTGGTCATTTACGATTTCGTTTTGAAAGCTGCCAGACGCCATTTTGTGATTTCAAGAGAGAAAGCCAATTCTGATATCTTAGAAGTTTTCCTATAAGCTGAAGACGATTTCAGTTTTGAAAAAGAGTATTGAGAGATACAGACTTCATTTAAAAGGTATTAGGCCATCTTATTTATATTTTTATATCTTTATTTGCATCAAGTACGTATATCATATATTGAAAAAATAATTCTTTTTAAATACATCATGGTTCATAGAGTTTTAATTTTCGGTCAATCATTCGTACGTAGATAAGTTTCCTTTTTATATAGGAATCGCGAGTTTGGTTGGTATAATTTGGGCTTTGATGATACAGAAATTCAAGTAGAATTTACAAGTTTTGGTGGAGGTACTTTATGACCGGGACCTAAATGCATCCAAAGAGAAAATTTTATGCACGTATTTCATACTTTTAAACCAAACACAGTTTTTATACAGATCGGCGGTAATGATTTAACACACGAAAATAATCCAGACAAATTAGCGCGCGATATCGTCTCGTTTGCTGATTACGTTATCACTGTCTATGGAGTAAGTCATGTGGTCATAGGTCAATTATTGCCGAGGTATTCCAGAAGTTCCGGTCATGACTATAACGAAAAGGTAAACAAAGTGAATCGTTGGGTAAATTCATCATTGAAATGCCGGCAAAATATTACTTTCCGGCATCATCGAGGACTTTGGAATAATACTGCGTCGTTATTAATAGATCAAGTTCATTTAAACAATGCAGGTATGCAGATTTATGCTAAAACGTGCGTGCAGCAGTTGGCAGTTCAAAACGAAAGTAAAACCGGATAACTTTTTCTTTGTTACATACACATTGCATTTAAAACAAATAATCTGTATATGTATTGTTTTATTAAATTCAAAACTTCAATCATTAATAATTATATAGTACAACATCCTTTCTGGTCAAATGTGTTCAATATACGCATGGTTAAATGTGTATCAATATACACATGGTAAAATGTTTATCAATAAACACCTGGTAAAATATGTATCAATATACACATGGTTAAACGTGGATTATTATACACCTGGTAAAATGTGTATCAATATACACCTGGTTAAACGTGTATCAATATACACATGGTTAAACGTGTATTAATATACACATGGTTAAACGTGTATCAATATACACATCGTTAAACGTGTATTAATATACAACTGGTTAAACTTGTATCAATATACACCTGGTTAAACGTGTATCAATATACACATGGTTAAACGTGTATTAATAAACACATGGTTAAACGTGTATCAATATACACATGGTTAAACGTGTATTAATATAAAAATGGTAAAACGTGTATCAATATACACATGGTTAAACGTGTATCAATATACACATGGTGTTATATGGTTTATAATAATAAGGTTTCATGGGTGATAATATTTTTATCATTTTATATATGGGTGTACTGTACCCACAAGGTTGGTAAATATTCAAAACTTTTAAATTTCAATACATGTACAGATTTCATAATTTTTTATCATATGGTTCATATAGAAAGGATAATTGCCCATATGGTCCAATAGACCATGCAGTTTCACATAAGCGACTTATCAACCCAGATAACGAAATCATACCCACGTTTTAGTTTAAATCTCGCGATAATTAACGATATCATACGTGACAGGGGGCTATCCGATTGACTCTAATATTTGGCAACACAATAATAAATTAACCGATAATACACATCTCTCTCTTGGTGTGTGCGTGAGGCAGGTAAACAGATGATACAATCATACCAGTACACAGTATTTTTGTCACGGAGATCGTAGTTATTTGAGAAGTTGTCACTAACATCATAGATATAATATAGCTATTATATAATGATCTTTGGAAATTACTGACATTAAACAATTGCATATTAACAAATGTAACCGTATTATGATTGAGACGAATAAATTTATATATTGGTCCCAGATTATTTAACTTTAAGTATTAGTTATCGTTTATTTTATATATTCAAAATAAATAGTATGACCGTTTAAACAGAATACGAATATTCAAAAGATTATTGAAAAAAAAAAATAAAATAACATAAATTTAATATAAGAAGATGTGGTATGATTACAAACGAGACAACTACCCACCAGAGACCAATATGACAGAGGTGAAAGCAACCATAGGTCCCCATACGACCCTCAACAATGAGAAAAATCCATACCGAATAGTAAGCTATAAAAGGTCCCGACGCAAAACAATTCAAGCGAGAAAATAAGTCTTCTTGTTGACGTTAAGAGTTCATAACAGTTGTATTTATAAATGCAATTGTTTTAAACAAAAGTACAAATCTTGCAGTTGCTATTGTTTGCTTACTATAGCTGTATGTCAGATTGATTATTTGTGAAAAGAGAAAAATATTTCGTTAAAAAGAAAACAACCTATACATCAGAAAAACATTTAATATCAGTTCCGTTCCAGTATCAATTCGCCCTGTGTGAGTTACCGTAAACAATTCTCAGTTTTTCTCAAATATATTTTTACATCTTGTTGTAACATATAAGGGTTACGGCCTACAGTTAGGTTTAGTACCATAGACTCGAACTTTTTGTCTTTTAATCTTCTTTAAAACGAAAGCCTGTAACTGTTATGGTGACTTTTGCGCGAAATTTTATGGGTACGAGGACCAGTTAGTGGCAGTTAAGAATGTTGCATGATAAATAATTGAAATTTCCACTTGAGGTATTATGTAGGTATAATCAAAAAATGATAGAATTTTTCCTTACATATACTTTTCCAAAGATGTAGTATATATTGTGATATGTTAAAAAATATATATAAAAAATCAATGATAGGCTGTAAAAATATGAAACATTTTGTATGGATTATACCGAGAAAAGGCATCATTATATGAATATTTAAAAGTAAACTAAAGGATAGAATTTTAAAATAAGATGTGCGAAGATATAGCTCTTATGAAATGCTTTCAGAATACCAAAAGAAAAAAATGGGTTCAGCTTGCGTTTTATCCTGCTAAAGCATGTACATGGCATATAACATAAAACAGAAAACTTTCCTGTAAATTGTAATAGACATTAAATTTACATTTATTTCAAATATTTCTTTAGTGATATTTTTTAGACAGTCATGACAATGAATATAAGGTAGTTTTAAAATACGTATTTGAATTAAGGTTTATCTTAAATTTTCAAACATCAGACATTTAAATAATGAATGCCATTTTAATTTCTAGGCTATGTTATGATGATCGACTTTGTCTAAGCAGTTGTTCAGTGTCATCGGCCAGAGTAATTTTCTACATATTTTCAACTTTTGCAAATTCTATATAATGCATATCTTAGCCTAATTTGTGCCCAAAATTTTCAAAATTTTATATATAAAAGGATACATATAACAGCATTTCAAATTAAAATAAAAAATAAAAAAACTTATAATTTTGTAAAAGAGACAGTAATCGTGGTATTGTCAAGAATTTGTTTAGGAGGACGTCTATATAAAAAAATTTCTTAGTAAAATCCTTGTTATTGTAAAATTATGTGTTTACTTTTTTTTAATGAATGCATTTACAACAAGATGCCATTAAAAGGAATTGAATATTCTGTATTTACCACGCTTTACCATAAAATAAAATCAAACGGCTGAATCACCCCCTCCTAAATTATTAAAATATATCCAGTAATTTCTCAGTAAAATTTAGGTACATGTATCTAATACATGTACAGGGTTAACATTTTCAACATCTGTTTCTAGGGGATGACCATTTGATTTTTTTTTGGGGGGGGGGGGGGGATTTTAGAAAATGAATATTCTGGCCTAGTAAGAGCTGAACATTTTTTTTTTTTGCCTAAGGCAGGATGAAAAAAAATAATCTGCAACACAAAATGCAGGAAATAATTGTGTACAAAAGTAAAAAAAAAAACAAAAAAAAACCGCGCAGCAAAAAGAAAAAGCATGCGTAGCATATGGGACATTTAATATTGACAGTATACTATTCCCAGGTAGTAACAGTTGAAGATGAATATTCTTTCCGATAAAAATCCTTCTGGCTTCCGTCAGAATATCAAACTGAATGTAGAAAAGGGTACGTTTTTATCAATTGTCACCTGGTGAGATTGTACAAGGTAAAACTAGGATTACAAATGGCTAAGGTGTTAATTAACTTCTTAATTTATGACCTTATATATGGATATGAAGTGACCCCCCTTTATTTATCTAATTTATTCTTCCCGCTAAGTGAACGACATCAGCATGAATCCAAGCATTTCTTCGTGACAATTAAAGGTACAAAGTCAGGCGGCATATCAGATCGTCTATAAATTTACTGCAACCAACAACAGTAGTCCGTTTTAAAATCTTTTAATGTGTCATTGTTAATGAAGTTGTCTCGTCAATATATGATCATCTTTTGATTCAAATGATGCTCGTGTTGCGTGAACATGTAAACGCAAAAACTTCATCAGGCGATTGTTTTTCCAGGTCTGCATGGTCACTGCTTATCAACCGTTAGCCCCCTAGTCCATGAATTATCGGGAATTATCGCGTGATTTCATAGTTTGGCTAATTAGTTCAGACATGCGCAGTTAAATGTGAAACTGGTGTATTGTGAAAAGGCCATATATTCTGGTTGTTTTATTTATAGATGCCACCCAGAGACCAAGAGTGAGGAGAAGGGTAGCACCAACAGATCTGAGGGATGTTGACCCTGTTCAAGTCATCCCTGACATAGTCGCACTACAGCCAAGACGGCGAAAACGTGCACGGGCTGATATCACCCAAGTAGCAGCTGATCAACCCGTTCCACCAGTGACGCAACCAGCAGAATCACTACCTCAGATTCCTTCAACACATCCATCAGCAGACCAGATAGCTGCCGCAATGATAAGCCAGCTGAAAGAGTCAGGTGTACAACTTACTGTCAATAACAGAGAACCGGTACCGTTATCAACAAATTTTCTGGCAAATTACTTAACAGATGGGGATTCACATGAGCACATTGGTAGAAGGGACATTCGCAACACAGAAACAACACAAATTGCAGAAAGTCAACGAATTAATTCATCATACGTATTGGCACCACCACTGGTAACAGACCCTGATATGTTAGCCTACTCAGGACAAGACCCAGTTGGAAGTCCACCCGCTTTAGGCATTGACAGTTCCACAATGGGTAACACAGCTTCATAACCCTTGGGTTTAATGTTGAGGAGAAAATAAGGAGAGACATTTGGTCCGATGTATATTTAGATTTGATAAAACTATCACCAAATTTTAATGAGGAGGAAAATGATGACATTTTGTTTAGAACAAAAACTGTTAAAATTTCAACTACTGCCAAGGCAAAACAGTTTACAAACATACACAAATGGACAGCAGCTTTTGATATTTTTATGTCTATACATCATGTAAAATATCCTAATTTAATTCTCAGTTTGATCAAGTATGCTTATAATATTAGAGCCATGACAAAACAATTTGGTTTTCACATGGCTAGGTCATATGACGAGGTTTTTCGTAGGGTATGCAAAGTGATGAGGCTTGATTGGTCTGTTGTGAATGATGATTTATGGCGTACTGCCTTCTATGAGCATTTCAATGGCAGTCAAACCTCAAATGGTAATAATAATAATAGACTTAATAGGCAGGTTGGAACTTCACCCTTTCCAAAACAGGCCCAGCAGCAAAATAGTCCATTCCCAATGGGGTACTGCTGGGCCTACTGCAGATCAGGAGAATGTGCCAACATGGCCACTTGCAGACTCAAACACGAATGTGTCAGATGTTCCAAAAACATGCAACAATTACATGAAGGGAAAGGTCTATAAAATTCAACAAGTCTGCCTACACCGGTTAGGGTAAATAAGCTAAACCATTTTCTTCAGGGATATGACAGTCATCTAAAATACAGATTGGTTCAGGGTTTCAAATTTGGGTTTAAAATAAATTCATCCTTAATTAAAACTGATAAAAATTTTCCTAAGAACCATAAAAGTGCCAGAGAGAATCTTGACATAGTAAATAAGAAGATTTCAAAGGAGATTTTAAAGGGTAGGATAAGAGGGCCTTTTAATGACCCACCATTTGCAAAATTTCATTTGCTCACCTTTAGGTCTAGTTCCCAAAAGAGAGGAAGGTTCATTGCGTCTAATTCATGATTTATCTTTTCCACAAGAGGACTCTGTTAATTCTTGGACACAAATTGAGTTTACTTCAGTATCATATCAGAATATAGAAACTGTCATTGATCTGGTACAGGACTATGGTTTAAACTGTCTCATGAGTAAAGCAGACATTCTAGAGGCTTTTCGTTTGGTACCTGTACATACATCAGAATATCATCTGTTGGGGTTTAAGTGGCAGAATTTATTTTATTATGATGCAGCATTACCCATGGGAGCATCTTCATCTTGTCAACTTTTCGAATGTTTTTCTACCGCTCTTCAATGGATTTTAAATAGAAAATTTGAGATAAAGGGTATATCACATTTACTAGATGATTTTTTTGTGGGTAAAGCTGAGACGAATGAATGTTCCATTGCTTTAAATACATTTCTAGCATTAGCTGAAAAATTGGGTGTTCCTATCAAAGATGAAAAAACTCAAACCCCTACTACATGTATTACAATTTATGGGATTGAAATTGATTCACAATCAATGATAGCTCGTTTACTTCAAGATAATATAGAAAAGGTTTTAGGTTTACTAAAAATATTGAAGGTAAAAAGGAAAGTGACTTTGCGAGAATTACAATCATTATTGTGGTTGCTAAATTTTGCATGTAGTGTGATTGTCCCTGGGCGTGCATTTTTGCGAAGATTATTTGATTTAACTTTGGGACATACATGTCCTCATTTTAAAATCACTCTAAATTCAGAAGCCAGGGCAGATCTCAAAGCTTGGTATGAATTTATATGCAACTTCAATGTAAAATCTTGTTTCTTGTTCAAACAGTGGGTGTCATCAGAATCTTTGAAACTTTATTCTGATCCTGCTGGGGTGTATGGTGGTTTTGCAGCAGTTTTTGGCAATACATGGTTCTCCGGCGAATGGCTTCCTGAGTTGAAAGATTTGCATATCACCGTTAAGGAGCTTTTTCCCATTGTTCTTTCAATTGAGATTTGGGGTAAAAACTTAGTAAATCATAAAGTTTTATTTATGACGGACAATCAGGCTGTTGCAGACATTATAAATAAAACATCATCTAAAGACAAAAATCTGATGAAATTAGTTCGTCGTCTGGTCTTGTCAGCAATGAAGTTTAATATTCACTTTAGGACTAAACACATAGCGGGAAAAACAAATGTGGTCTGTGATTTGCTATCTCGTTTTTCTTTTCAGGAAGCCCACCAAATTGCTCCCTGGTTAAATCTAATTCCAGTTACGGTCCCACTGCATCTCTTGAATCTGTAACAGCACAAGACGTTGCGCAAGATATTGAGTCTCAAATGGTAACGTCAAATTTTTACGTTTTATGGCGATTAATGATTATTGGCGATAATTTGTTTATTTCGCTTGCAATTTTTGTTTTGCACATCAATATAGATACTTCTTAATGTTTGGTTGTACTGAATATGCATGAAATATTTCCCATTGAAAGTTACGTAAGCAACAAACAACAAAATATATCGTATTTGGGTAATGCATAAGTCTATATGAAATGAGAAGATATGTATACGGTATGATGAGTGCCAATGAGACAACTCTCTACCAGAGACCAATTGACATAAAACGTAATAATATGCAATGTTTCCCCATTTAGATCCGAAAGGAAGAAGATATATATTTTGCTTTAATTAAAACAGTTTGTCGGGAATTACAAGTTAAACGGGTCTTGCTTATAAAATTCACTTTACTTTCTTTAATTACGGAACAATTAGATAAAGAAATGAAACGATTGTCAGAAAAAAAAGGTTTTTTATATTCATCTCATATGTTTACAAGCTTTGTATGATGTGGAGAGGTATATATATATAGCCACACTTCAGGCCCAATTTTATTTTCACTTTCAAGTTCTAAACATATGAATCTTATTGCAGAGAAATAAAAAAAAATTCGCAGTTTTACGCTTCCTAAATTTGAAAATTTGAAAAAGATAATTTTTATCCTCTTGTAATACACAACTTTTTCACAGCTTAAGAACCTCATCTAAACGAACAACCCCATTCATCGGATTTTTTTTTATACTTTGTGGTCTTGTTGATAGTATCTGACTATCAAGAAAATTCTATCTGAGGATCCACCAAAAATAGCGTCCCGAATCGACAACGTTGAAAACGTATGAAAATTGTCCAGTGGACAAACTTGCAAGACATTTCATTTCTTTGAAAAAGAAGTTGTGTTGATTACTCAAATTATCAAAAATTATGTAGCTGTTTTGTAGAGTTAAAGTACAATTACGGAAAAGCACTATTTAGCATGCAACAAATCTAAATTTTCAATAAATAACGTCGCAAATGACAGTTTATTTGTAAAAAGCGGCGAAATCCGACATTGGACATCTTGCAAGACATTTGCCAGAAGCCGTTGCATTTTTATATGTGGTGTGAGTGCTGCAAAAATTCGATTTTGATATGGTCTATCTATGTACTTTGGTGAGCATAATTTACACAAACGAAATTTCATATAATCTTATATTTTAAAACCTATAAATTTTGATAACTTAACATTTTCCTAAATCTGACCATAATGAACACTATTTGTTTTTGCCAAAAAAATAGCGTTGGTCGTTACAGGAACGCATATTCAGTAATATTGTAATACTTTATATATAAAGCATATCATTCATTCGAATTTTCGCGGATATAACACTGTTTTGAAGAACACAAACACCCCTGCTAAAGTTATTATGCGCATAGTCTGTTACGTCTGACATGCATTTTTTTGACGTTTTGTCAATATGTTGTCCTTATTTTAGACTGTTGTAAAATATGATAAAACAATTTGTAGTTTTTTTTTCGGAATAGTATTTACCTGTCTAGTCCATGGATATAAATTTTATATAACTTAACTGTTATGATTTTATAGAAAAGCTGTTTATTAGTGTGGACTGGTTGATTACACGGTATTGACGCAATAACGTGCGTAACGTCACAACTATTACAAGCTTCATTATCACATTCAACAAGGCAATCTTATAAAAGGATGCTGAATATATTCCAGCAATTGTGTAAAGAACAATTTCCTTTAGTCCCACCATTTCCATCTACAAACATTATGATAGCACATTTTATTTCATTTCTTTTCTTAAAGAATTATCAGCCATCTACTATAGCATCCTACATCAGTTTTGTTCACAAACTTAATTTTTGAAGTGATCCTACAGATTCATTTTTCATTAAGAAAATTATTAAAGGGGCCCAAAATCTAAGAAGTTCAAGTGATAATAGATTGCCAATCACAAAAGAAATCTGATCATCACAGTGGGTAACCCCTTATCAATATCGTAATATGAAACTTGGAAATTTCCATAGCCACTGTTTAGGTATTATGCAATTCTTAATCAAATGCAATCAAGGTCAACATGGTCATCTCATGATCATGGTGTATATTAGTTGCAATTGGCTATTTATAATTAGAGTGACCAATCAGGAAACCGCGCATGATAGCATCATTGCATGTGAGGGGACGCTTGGTCATTTACGATTTCGTTTTGAAAGCTGCCAGACGCCATTTTGTGATTTCAAGAGAGAAAGCCAATTCTGATAACCCACCCTTCCACACCTTTGAAAGTATTATTTATATCATAGGTATATGTATATGTTTTTGTTTGTTTGTTTTGTTTTGTTTTTTCTCATTGTATAACATATTGTATTCTTTGTACTGGCGGGTTTAATTCGCCATCTTTGCTAATTTTTTGTCATTTACTCAGATTTGGATTATTGCATAAATTGCATAATTGATTATATAATACAGAATATTATGATTTTATGGTATTTTGAATAAATGACCGTTAAAGTGATTTCCTTTTGCAGAACCTCAATGTAAAATTTACGTCAAACAATAATGATATTATTAGCAGCCTTATCAGCCGGGACAAAAATCAATTCCTTGGCAAGTCCTTTTAGCTTCTATATTATTAAATGAGAAGACCTCATTTTGTGTGTCGCTTCTCTTCCTTCCACATTAAATCAATCACCATGCTTTTATGTCCTATAGGTACCATGCATAGTCGCATTTGTCATCCTCGCTTATAAATATTTCGTTTGGGTTTTTTTGGGAGAAAAACGAAAATAAAGACGTCCGGATATTGTTTCCGTCCTCGGACTGACTTTTATGTCATAGATAAGACTTCCGTTTAGGACTTAAACTTACACATTATTTTCATAGGTACAAGGGGACAGGACAATTATTTTCGCGTTTTTCTGTATACTATGAACAAACATACATGTATACTATATAAATACAGTGCATTTGCTATTTGCAGAGAAAACAACAAAAAAATAACGGACTTTGGAAAAAGGGGGAGGGCTAAAAATATGGTACTGTCCCCAAGTACCTTTGACTTTTGATAACTTTCCTGAAATACTCCAGTCAAATATCTTTTACAAAAATTCATCCTTCAACAGTTTACATACCATCAACAACGCTCTAATTGCCCGCGATTTCGCGGGTGTGTTCTAGTATGTTTGATACGAGAAATAGGGCTATTATGGTTGTTGTTAGGAGTAAAATGTTTGTTGTATACGTATATCAACTATGTTCATTACTGAATTAAAAAAAGAATCTAAGGATTTCTTGTCAGCTTTTTCGCGTTTTATCCATTTCGAGCAGTAAGTACGGAGTGAGTCTTGGATGATGTTACGACACTCATTCCAATCAATAATTGACGGGGACGATATTTAGGTCCTTTAATGAGGAATGATTTCAACTCTCGGTAACGAACGATGTTAAGGTCTCCTGTTATAACATGGGAACTGGGGCCATAAATGTATTCAGAATTACTGCAATTTCAGGACGTAGGTGTATTGTCACTGATATTTTCATATTTACACACTTCGCTATAATTAAACACATATTTCCAGGTAGATTTTTTGTAAACATAACAAATAAGAGGGATTTCAGTATTATCAAAATAACCAGGAATTTGTTTTTAACAGAATGATCATTAAAAATACCGGCAATATTTACAAAATCAAAACCTTTATTGACATATTTGATTTTAATAAAATGTTTTTTTTGTGATCTTCAGGGCGATCAATTTTGGGAAACAGTTTAGAATAACAATATGCAATTATAATTTGGACGATTTCATACTTAGGACTGCAATATGGAATTGTGTTGCAATCCTCTAAAATTTGATGAAATTTATTAACAGGTTAAGAACAGAGTTTGGTTAACAGAACAGTTTTCGTCTGTGTTGATAAGCATGTTTCCAGTGTATAATCAAATCTTTCAAGTTATGGTGTCTCACCATAGACCAACACACGGCCTGATAACTTCACAATGAAACTGCTCAAAAATTAAAAAGATAAAACAACACTTTATAAATTTCATCGTTCAAAGTGTTTTTCTTAATTTACCTTCATCAGTAACGTTCAAAGCCGAATATGTAAAAGCCAAGGATGTATAAGAACCAAAACAGTTGAAAAGTTAAATGACCAAAAGGACTTTAAAATAAAAGTCAAATCAATCTTAGGTTAATTTTGCCTGACGGAGTTGAAACCTTAGTTTCTTAATAATTTCTAAATCTATGAAAGGACAATTTAAGAAAGGTAAACTATAAAGCATGTAAGTACCAAAGTACTGACTACTGGATGATGATACCATCGGAGTCCACCAGCAGCGGTATCAACTCCGCGCTGTAAAAAATGAAAAAAAGTTTCATGCGTCTAAAGCACGTTTAGGACATCGGTAAAATCTGAAACTGTCAATATCATAAAATGTTTCTATCAGACAGTCCTGATAATATGGAAAAGTCAAGTATATACAATTTCACAAGGATTATATGACATACTACATTGAAACATCATGATGCAATAACAATTAGTATTTTATAAGTAGCTGAGTTAATTAACTATGAATAAACAAACAAATTCCCTCCAATCAAGAGTTCAGTTATGGAAAGTACCTATTCCGATGTTTTGCTTCTCTCTCTGTGCGTGTTCGCGATCGAACTGGTGTACTAAATCTGACTGGTGGTTATATTTGTATATCTGATAAATTAATTGGCGCTTAAATTGTATAAACCAGTTATGTGGTGGATAAATAAGTTTTCAAATGATCGACAAATCCCACAATTGGGTTTGTGTTTTGTATACAAGATCTGACTTTTTCCGAAGACTTGGTAAGATCATGTACACCCAAGGCTTAAAGCTTGATTTATCTTTGGAGGATACTACCTCTAGACACATGAGTTTGACTCATTAGACCTAGTTTTAAAACCTTCGTGATATAACGTTTGACGCCTTGCTGCTTGTCTTGGAAGTTCAAAAACCAGAGAAAAAAACATCCTTAACGCATTTATACTCTAAATGATATAAAACGTTTTTATTTGCTGGAATGTAAACCCGAGGTTTACAGGACATCTGATTTTTCACGTCATAGCATTAAAATAGTGGGTGTTAACTTCATAGAGTGAACAGTGCTTGCATATGCCATCGTGATATACGTGATATGATTGTCCTTATCATTCCTATGGGAATTTGCATTTGACAACATCTGCGTAAGATTCTTGTTAATTTTTTTTTAACTAAACCTTAACTTCGTGGTCTGGATGGGGTTGAGTGAGTATTTTTGTACTCCTTATCATTGGCATATTACCTGATTCATGTGTGATTCACATTTATTGTGTATATTTGTAAAGGCAGCTTCATATTAATTCAATTTGTAACTTAGCCCGAAACCGAGATATGTGTATGTTCATGTTCACATACTATTATGAACTCTTTTCATTTCTTTATGGCAGAGATCCAATGATATACTAGTATATATGTCTAATCTCTCCAAAGAGACACAATGCTTCGTTTGTCTGAAAGGAGTTTTTCTTAACTCATGCCAAGGTTTACATCGGGCAAAATGTCACATTCTAAACACAGGCCAATACAACTTATTCTAATTAAAATTAAAGTTCTGTCTTTTCTAAATTGTCATGCAATTTCATTGTGGATGAAAAATTATCTACTTTATCTGTATAGGGGCTGCTTATTGATAAATCCAATACCGATCATCATGCATTTATAAAGAAAAACTTTGTAAACATATCATTTCTCATCCCTAAAGAGCTTTGGTATTTGAATATTAATTAAATATATCCTGTTTAGTAGGTTTATTTTCAGTATTTGATTTAAGTTTTATAATTTCACCTATGGCAGAGTCACTCTTTTTCATGATTTGAATTTTCCGAGGACTCCAAACAATCTAAAAAATATAATTCTAAATTATTAACTCTGGAATATTAAGTAATTTACTAATAATGGATTCTTAAAAGAGGGGCGAAAGATACCAAAGGGACATTCAAAATCATAAGTCGAAAATAAATTGACAACGCCATGGATTCTTAAAGTTAATTTCCTTAGCCACAACTGTGAGACAGATTCCTGTATGAATTTGTTTGCAAACTCTGCTATCCACATTTCCCCACAGCCTAATTTCGAAAAGGGAAGTCGGTGGTTCGGGACAGCACTCTGAGTATTCTTTCCCTTTTGCATTTACGGATAGGTACTGTGGATTCATTATTTTTCGTTGGATACCAATTTTCATTGATTTCGTGGGAACAGCTGAACCACGAATTTAAATGTTCAACGAATTCCAAATTTTCCATTGGCCTGTATGCAGACTATGGTAAAACCACGAAATTAAATATCCACGAAAGTGTGAGTTTTTCTCAATCCACGAAAATTGGTACCCACGAAAATAAATGAATCCACAGTATTCTGGATAATGCATTGGCATATGTATGCAACGACCCTTCCTATCATTAAATGTCCTGTATTAATTTTGTGTTTAACAAGGTCTGTTCCTCCAAATTTCCCACCAGGCCCTACAAAAATGTCATAAAAATCCTTTTAATTATTTCCCTAATTTCTTTATTATTCTCTCTCGAGGATTTTTGTAATAGTTCCTGTAAGTATGCGAGCAAACCTTCAGGAATATCTTCTTTTTGAATCACACGAGCTTATTTGATTATCAATTAACTGAACAGTGTTTATTGGTCACCTATACTGTTGATATTTTCTTTAATTCAACAAACCGATCATACACAGAATTTTGTTCTTATGTAGGTTCATTTAAAGTTTTGGCAAGTAAACCCAAATGTGTTGGGTTTTTTTTTATATTTGGCTCAATATTCGAGTTGTCTTGACAATTATAAACATTTTTGAATAAAGGGACATAACTCTATCTTTCCTATGTTCAACTCTTCCTAAATTATGATTATTATTATGCTTTCTATGTTTAACACTTTGATGTCCTATCACTCACTTTGCTTCGGTCAGTTTGAAATCACATTTATATTTAAAAAAAAAAAATCATTACTAGTATGCCGTTAAGTTATCCTAATTTTACCACAATACGCAGATTTATCTATTTTATGTTTAATGCTAACATTTATTCGGTCTTATATCGAGATTTGAACTTCGATAAACTACTGCCGCCTTTATAAACACTTTATTGTCATCATCTGCAGATAAAATTGATTCAACTCTGAAGAATTCTGACAGCTCTACATCATAACTTTCAATAATATTTCTAGCTTATAAAGTTACATAGGAACCATTGTCTATAAATGGTTATTTATTTCTGCAGGCACGTACAGACTGTAGGCTCGGAATCTCTTGCCAAATTATCAAATTCAAATCTTTCATTTATTTACATTTCAGGCCTCATTTTTAACCCATTTCCCTTTAACATATATACACTGTACCGCTAAACCAAGTTTTAAGACAATTAATTTGCGTTAAGGTAGACCGGGTGTCTTTTTTCTGAGCATCCCTTCTAGGCATGTTGCAACAATACTTTTTTGGTTTAACAATATTTTACCAAGTATCATTAAATATACAAAAAAAAAACATCAAAATTTTAAATTTAGATATTAAACTATAAAAAAATTAATTGCCGTTAAATGTATTTAATTTTTCAATAAAAATCCTTTTAAAATTTACAACCCATATGGAATATCTGTGGATTCGTTAATTTCAATGTATTTCAACGACAAAAAAAAAGGTACGCTCTCCGGTTCTTATATTAAAATTTTAAAGTCCATTGACCCAGAAGTCTTTCACAGAAGTTTAAAAAAAATCTATCGTCGAACATTTAGATACCCAAACTACCTTGTCTTGTATCTTTAACATTTTTTTACGTACATATGTCTTTAAGGGCTTAAATCTATACTAAGAATATCAGTATGTGATTCAACGTACCTCAAACTTCTATCGTTTACAACTAATTCGACTCATTCTCTGTGAAAACTGATTTTTTTATTAAATTTATCAAATAGATTTTTTTCACAGTATATTTTAACAATTAATGATTTTTTGGAAGACATATATATTTTTATTAACTGCGCAGTGAGCATTGTAATAAAATCATTGATATTATAATTATAACTTGAACACGAGTTGAATGTGTGATTCATCGTGTACCAGCGCAATGACAAACTCGAAATGCATTAAAAATTCGTGTTAATTTCTTACAGAATTTACTGTAAGAATAAACAAAAAAAAAAAACAAAATAAAACAAAACTAAAATGTGC